GTAAGAAAATCCCCTGGCCGAATACTGCTCAGAATAGAATGAAGAGTTTGCATCTTGAATTTTTGGTAAATTAGGTACCGATTTAGAGCCTTGAGGTCTAGGATCGCCCTCCATCCTCCTGAGGGTTTTGATACCACGAACAGGATGGAGTAGAAACCCAGTCCCCATTGATCTGGGGGTACCTGCTCTATTGCCTCTATGCTTAACAGATGACAAATGGCCTCCTCCATGAGACCTTGTTTCATGGGATTTCTGGATAGGGGGCAGGAGATGAAGTGCCGAGGGGGGAGTGTGAGGAACTCCAGAGACAGTCCATCTCTGATAGTGGTTAGAACCCAATTGTCTGTGGTAGTACTTTCCCATTTGTGGAAATATAGTGCCAGTCTTCCGCCAATGGGAGGAATCCGCCTCAAGTCACTTTGACTTTCGGAAAGGACGAGCTCCTCTGCCGCGAAAGGGCCGCTTAGCCTGGAATTGTGGCTTTGGCTTGTCTCTGTAGCCGGACCGGTCTGATGAGCAGTCTGGCCCTGCTTGAAAGGGCCGATACCCGCTCCATGTAGTTCGGTCTGAGCCAGACTTGAACAACGGACGCCGGTTGTATGGAGAAAAACGTCTGCCCGTTTTTTTGACAACATGAGCTAGTACTTTCAACTTTTCTTTGTTTTCAGTCAGATAAGGAGTGAGAGCCTCTCCAAAAAGGCGACCCTTTTGATACGATGCCACAGCTACTCTCCATTTGTGCCTGGTATCAGCCTTCCAATTTTTTTAGCCAGAACAACCGGCGTGCGGCCACATTGGAAGCTATGGCCCAAGCCGAATATTTGGTCGACTGCAGAGATACATCCGCCATGTATTCCAGTGCGGCCCTTAGTTTAGTGACATCCTGGTGAACCCTTACCTCGTCTGGGGATAATCTGGCCTGTAATTCCCTGAGCCAGATTAATGCAATTCTAGCGAAAAAGGAGTTAGATGTTGAGGCTCTTATAGCCCAAGCCGATGCCTGATGGGTCCTTTTGAGGGAAATCTCAGACTTCTTGTCCTCAGCCTTAAGGGCCTCCGACATATCTCCTGGGATTTTGGTGTCTGACAGTATGGGGGCGAGAGCCTCGTCTACACTCGGAACTTCGAGGACATCGTTGAGGGAAGGGACCGTATCTAAGAGCTTACGATCTAATCCCCCAAGAGCAGAGAAACTTCCAGGAGATCCCCACTGATCCTGAATGGATTTGAGAAACATAGGGGGGCAAGGTATCTGTAGGTTCTTCTTGACTGGTTCCAGAAACAGTGGGTCAGAACTCTGTCCAGAGTCCTGATCGGTCGTCTGTGGTTTCACGGGTTCAATTTTTCCAGTGACATAGGCCTTTTGTAAAAGAGGATAGAAGGAATTTGGATTAAACACCCCTACCATAGGAGTAGCCTCCGCCTGAATGTCTTCCCCATCTGACCACATGCCTTCTTCCGGAATCTGAGCGGAAAAATCCGATATCTCGCTCCCTTCAGATTGAGGTGGAGAACTGTGATCTGAGATCACATACTCCCTGGGATGCCTAGTTTCCGTGGGCGTAGGGGGGGTTGACGGTCCTTGGACCAGAATGGTCCTCCCTGAAGCCACCATTGCCTGAGCCACCGCCTGTGAGATCATGGCTTGGAGCTGGACAGTAAATAAAGGATGTTCGGGGCCCCGAAGACCGCCGCCATCAGCGTGAAAGATGCTGAAGGGATTGGGGGAGGGACGACTGTAGTAATCTCCCCCTGAGACCCACAAGACACTGAGGAAGGTCCTAGCTCAGCAGCTGGAATTGAATCTTGGACCTGTAATCTCAATTTTCGGTCAAAGAGGGACAGATGGTCCCGTTCATATCCCAGCAAGGAACCCTGGTCCAGGGTCTGCTCGGGAGACCAAGCCTGTGTAAAAGGGGAAGGTCGATGCTCCCCTGATGTGGATGCAAGAGGAGGTGAGGGGATAAGCTGCGTCTCTCCTGTCTGCCGCTGGGCTTTGGAGAATTGTTGCTCCAGCGCCCTATGTCTGCTATCTGCTTGCTTGTCATCAGCCTTAGAGGTCCGTTTGACCTTGGCCTTGGCTTTTGCAGGTGTATCCAGACTGGATGGCTTGCGTTTTATATTTCCACTGGAGGTGGAAGCCTGTGAAACGGTGTTATCCGCCATATTGAAATAAACAATAGGAAATAAACAACAGGTGTTCACCAGGAGATCCCTGGATCTGGCCTGTACTGCAGTAGAAGAAAAGACAGGTTTTCACCAGGAGATCCCTGGATCAGTCCTGTTCTGCAGGAGAAGAAAGGGCAGGTTTTCACCAGGAGATCCCTGGATCGGCCCTTGATCTGCAGGAGAAAGGAAGGCCACGGCCCACCTGGGTGGTACAGGCCTGCACGAGGGTCTGTGAGGTCCGGCCCGCCATTAAGCACGGAGTCACTATGCGATATAAGCCGCACTACGCTCAGGGGCTGTCCTCCCCGTTCAATTTTTCAGGCCCACTGTAATAGAGACAATTTGGCCGAAAAGGTATCAAATATCAATTAAAGATAAGTCTATATATGAATATAGATATATATCTTGTTTATTTTAATTCTGTTTTATTTTAATTGATTTTTATTTATTTATTATTTTATTTTATTTTTTATTTTTGACCCTCGTGTCTCACTTAGTGACAGCTAGGACAGTAAGTGCCGACCACTATGCAGACAGCGGAAAACAGGCAAGGCAAGCAGCCGTCCAATCTGTTGGCACTGGATATTTAAATGGTACTGATAAGTCACACAGTCTGGAATATTACCAGATAAAATGGAGTGAGAGACTCAAGGTATTTTCCCTATGTCCACTAGGTAACCTGAGATGGTGCCTATTAAGCAGCTGAAGCACGAGGTAATGAAGATCTAAAGGAATGTAATTAGAACTCCTATTCCCCCCCCCACTTAGGGAGAATCACCAAATAAATAAGTTACTTTGTGACTGAAAAGGCTGTAATTAGGACAAAGCAGTCAATTTAATGTGTGCGATCGGGCGGAGCCCAAAATGGCGGCCGGGACGATCTAATGAGAGATAAAACAAGCTGAGAGAAAAGATCCTCTCCTTCAAGTAATCTGGTAATAAGCTCTTTTAGTCAAACAGTTCACCTGCTGTTTTTTTTTGGGGGGGGGGGGTAATTTACAGCTGACAATCAACAGTAACAAGAAAGTACTTGAGTATTGTGAGGATCGAGCCTTCTAGAGGCTCAAAATGGCACCCGCAGGTTGTTTGAATTGGTAATAAACCTAAGAAGGTGATTTCAGTTTTCAGCTGAGAATTAGTAGTTTAAAGCTTCGCATTCACAGCGAAGATCCTGGGAGAGGGTGGAGGAGGTGGATTGTAATGAGGAGGCAGCAATCTACGATCAGCTGTCTGCCTCTGAAAAACTCACGGAGAAGGGAAACTCACGGAGAAGGAAAAAAAGGATAGAGAAACCACGAATGGCAATAACTACCTTTCTGAATCTAAATTAGGAGCCAAATTCTCATGTCTCTTCAGGGCTGAGACCAAACGAAACTGGGGCATGGTCAGACCCTGCAGAGGCGTGGCAACTTTGATTGTTTGGTCTGATTGGGCTAGAAGACTAAATCAACCCATCTTTGGAGTCTACATTCCTCTACATGCTGGAGAATAGATGATGTTCTTCACTTAGTCAGGGTATCCTGGTGCTTTCCGCTTTCCTCAGCATCTTTCTTTTTCTTGGTCCACTCTTTGTGAGATTGATAAAATATTAAAGAATTCTACAATGGATGGTATGACAAGTTCAAATACAAGAGAAAGATTCAAAAACCTTCCTTCCCTTCCCCTTTTCCTTCCCTTGAGTGGTAATAGATTGTCAATTTTTTCACATTTAACCCTCTAATCAACTTCAAATTTGTAACCAATTTTAAGCCAGATTCTAACAAGAAACAAGTTCTTATTTTGTTTGTTTTACAAATCATCTACCAACATTATAGTACTGTAAATATCAACTCTTGTCTGGTTTTTCTTCATGCAATAGGATGTGGTGGCAAACATTTACTATACCTAGCATCCCACAGGATTAGGGAGGAATAAGTCAACAGCTTGCCAAACTTAGAGGAGCACTACTTGAATCTTGTGGCTTAACCATATCAAGTTGAGTAAAGTATAATAATTTTAAGATATCTTGGAGCAAATCTTAGTAAAGATAGAAATCTTCTGTGCAATGTTAAATAGGGATAATTCTGTTAAAATCAATTTAGGTATCTTGAAGAAAAATTTGTAAGATATATTTCTTGACACTTTGGAGCTGGATTTAGTAGAGATATTCTGAGTTAAACAAATACAGTATCTGTAGGGGTTTCTGGAAAATTTGGGATCCACATCTGTTAGAGATTTCCTAAAATATTTTAGGTCAATATCCTAATCATATTTTAGATTTGCTAAAGACAAAAGTGAAAGGTGGGACAGTTAATAAGGTAGGACAGCTAATAAGGTTAGGCTACCAAAAGCAGAAACTCAGAAAAGTGTTCCTGAGTACTGGTTTAATTGCTAGATATCAGTCAAAGACATAAAGTGAGTTATATGAGAGAGACACACTCCTTACTTGAGCTCTTATGATTTAATATCTGCATAGAACTCTTTGCTTCCAAAGGATATGAAGAAACTGTATGGAATGTTTTACTTACAGTCAATGGAAGGTTTGTTTTTCAACATTGTTTTTTCTTGAAAGAACAAGAGATCTCAGTGTAGTGAACATCTGCTATCCAAAACCTCTGATTTGACAAACAGATAAAAGGTTAGCTATGTTAATTTTAATTTTGAAGAAAAATACTTCCAAAAATAAAGAGTATAGCCACATCATTTGAAAAAGCTACACAATTTTATACATAAAGCAAAGAATAAGTCTCAGTTTATAAATAAATCTTTATTTGTTTATTTGATTTATTTTAAGTTCTACAGAAGCATATTATAATAACACAAAAATGTAGAACTTGACAAACATGGAACAACAGTGCTTCTATGAAATCTTGGTTATAATTTTTTTGATCACAATTTCTTGGCCATTGTTAACCCAAAATTCTGAAATAGTTGGTGGTTTCATGCAAAACACTAATTTCATTTTCTGTATTACCTTATACAATGTCTGCATCCATTTTCTGCTAAAATGTTGGTAATCTCTACATTTGCTGACACTTTAATTAACAATACCTATCCCGTTGACATTTTTCTTTACAAGCTTCAGTGAAAATAAAACTTTGTCTTTCTACTGGAAAATTTCAAAATACTTAAAAGAAAAACTTTTCTGTGTACGCAGCAATGGTGCTATTTAAATAAATATAGAACGCAGTTTATAATCTTTATAGTAAGCGAACCTTTCATCAATCGGAACTGTAACATGCAGTAATATTGCAAAACTATAGGTGGCAATCCAAATGAACTCAATGGGACTGATGTTTAAACAGAACCATTGTGCAAGTGAGTTACAGCATGCTTCTAATCAAGTTTGCCAAGCTGTTTTGTCATAAGTCTCATACACTAATTGTAAAGGTTTTTGATCATTTGAACATTTTTCATCCATATGTCTTTCCAGTGCATTCCAATAAATAAGGTTTTGACTAGGAGTAATAAAATGGCTTGTAACAATTTTCTTGTAGTGGCAAGGATCAAAAATAACTTTTTCTGGAAAAAAGACAGGTTCTGAATGAAGTTTTTCAGGTTGGATTTTAAGTTTTGCAACACACATACCTATAAAAACATCTTCCAACCTAAGAACAGTGATCTGTTTTGAAACTATATAAACTTGACTAGCAACATCAGAGGAGACAACATAACCAGTTCCTGAACAAAAGGGTGGGTAAATTTTTTCTGGATATTCCTCTTCACTTATATACCATTTTATGTCTGGATTCCTTATTGGCTTTTCATTAATTTTTATAGAACCTGTATATAACTGGGTAGTACTCTTTCGTTTCTGAAGAAGTTCTATCAGATAATACACATTCACAAACATATCAGAATCAATTTTCATCACAAAAGTAGCTTGTGGGCAGAATTTATGAATCCATTCAAAGCCCATTAAAGTCTTTAATGTTAAATTATTATATGAATCTATAAAATTCTTTTGGATTATATCTTTATAATGTAAGCTTTCCACAGTCACATTAAATGGTTTATACGGCCAGAAATTATTTCCCAAGAGAAAAAAAGTTAAAATCAGTTTGTCAGCTAATACTCTTTTTTTTCCCCACGTTTTACGAATTATCATCCGAGCCTTTCTCTCACCAAGTTCTGATGACACCAATATTACTAGGAATGGAGGATTCCTATGGCAATTTATATCAGGCAATTCCAAAAAGCTTTTCTTCGTAATAAATGTGACAAAACAATTCAAGAGGATGATTGTGATCAAACAAGCCAGGACCAATGAAAGAAGATAAATATGAAACTGTCTCTTGAAAGAAATCTGAAAAAGAAGAAAATTAATATTTACACACATATACATATACATACATATATTGTTATTAATTAATTAAAACCATTTTAATTGTCACTCTTCAAAACCATTTTCCTGATGGTGATGAAATGGTCAATAAAATGTAAAGTTAAACAATAAAAACATGGACGGTATATACAGATTGATTAAAAATGCTATTGCAATATGGAAATTTGAAATCTAAACAAAGCAATATATTAACAGAATTATGAGAATATAAATATTTTTAAAAAATAACAAAATATGGTGCTAGAATCGCATCATTAGGGAAATGTCAGAGAACAGGACAGGAGTGGGGATGGGGTACAGAGAAAGCCCATTCTTAAGTGTGTGGGTATCTGTGTGTGGGTATGTTACAACAGCACTGAAAAAGTAACTTACAACCTGTAATCATACTTATAACCATTAGAGCATTCGGAAGGTCATGAAATCAACATTTGGGCACTTGGCAACCAACATGTATTTATAATGGTAACAGTATCTCAGGATAATGTGATCACCATTTGGGATTTTCCCAGTCAGATTCTGACAAGCAAAGTCAATGGCAGAAGCCAGATTCACTTAGCGATTATGTAATTCACTTAATGACTCAAGTGATTTGCTTAGCAACTAAAAAAATTGTAAAATCAGGAGTCACTCACTTAACAACTTAGCTTAGCAACAGAAGTGAAAGACTACCATCATTATTAGCCAGCTTCCAAGTGCAATTCAGAGTGCTGGTTGTTGTCTTTAAAGCTTTATATGGCTTTAAAGATGTCTTCTGCCCTTCATATGAGATCACACATAATAGATTCATTCCAGGTCCCTTCTCTACACAGACAGAACAGAACCATTTTTTGTAATAGCTTACACACAAGATCAGACTAGTTTCCACCATGTTATGTTTTAGGAGAAAACTTGGCTTCTGAAGAAAGCTCTAAAAGATATTCTAGTACTGTTTCAATGGCCTAAGTTTCCTTCTTATTAATGTTTATTGCTATTATTTTATACCACAATTAGTTACCTTATAACATATTTGTGTTTTAACATTTTTACTGTAAGAAGAAAATATAGCTCACTGTTGAGTCTTGCTAGATTCAAACAAAACACACACAAACATAAAATAAATCAATGTGTTCAGTAAGTTTTATTGAGCACAAGAGTTGCTTATCCCAATAGTGGGAGCTATAGCCAAACTTGATTCCTTCAATTTTAGAGTAAGTGGATTGAAACTGGACAGTAACTGGATTATTCTATTCTATTCTATTCTATTCTATTCTATTCTATTCTATATTAAAGGCCTTTTAAGGTGGATCTCTATTTAAATGTCTGTATTCTACACACAACATATATTTTCATATATACCAGAAAAACATAATTACAAGAATCCCTTGCATGTATATGAATATTGTCCTTCCCATCCTGAAACAATCTGCATATTTAAAACTTGCATCTTAAATGCAAACATGAATTTTTCATCCTCCTCCTTAATGAATAGCTTTAAAACTGTGCCAAAAAAATGTAAAGGTTTAATTTTAGTAGTTTTCAATGGTTGACAAGATACAATTGGCTTTAAAATGAAGCTAACAAGCCCCCAAAAGAAAAAAAATATCAGAAAGGAATACACAAGTAGTCCTCGACTTATGACCATGATTGAGCCCAAAATTTCTATTGTTAAGTGAGACATTTGTTAAGTGAGTTTTGCCCCACTTTATGACCTTTCTTTTCACAGTTGTTAAGTGAATCATTGCAGTTGATTAGTTAATTAAACTGGTTGTTAAGTGAATCTGGCTTCCCCATTGACTTTGCTTGTCAAAAGGCTGCAAAAGATGATCACATGACCTTGAGACACAGCAATGAACCAGTTGCCAAGCCTCTGAATTTTGGATCACATGATCTTGGGGATACTACAAAGATTGTAATTGTGAAAAATGGTCATAAGTCACTTTTTTCAATGCCATTGTAACTTTGAATGGTCACTGAATGAACTGTTGTAAATCAAGGACTACCTGTCACCCTGAACATTAAAAGAAAACAGAATATTTGTATAGTTTTACCATCTCTTTTATAGAAGATACTGGCCACAATTGCACTCCTCCCCCTGATTCTCTTCAGTGAAATTCTAAGTAAAATTTTCCAAGAAGATTAGCTCCATAAATTTTTCCCCTCAGGCCTATTTACAGTAGGCCCCATCTCTGCAAGCTACTAAGCCTTTACTTCTGTCCCGGCCCACCCTTGCTTCTCACAATCTGTCCCTACACTCTAATGTCTTGCTCATTGCTTTTCAGACAGTGAAAGACCCACTTTCTTTGTAGTCGCTTTAAGTCTCTTCAGGACAGGGGAAGCCATCTTTCTCCTCTCCCAGGAAGAGAAGAGCCTCCTGATGGGAAATCTGGGCCTGGCAGCCTAAAATAGTGGGTAGAAGCTTGTGTCAGCACAAAATAGTTTCTCCAGACTCAGGACACAATAATATTCTTTTTTTTTCTTTTTTCTTTAAAAAGCACATTATCAAAATAAGAAGAAAAAAAGAGGGTCAAATATGGTGAGTGGAAAGGAGTCTTATTAGATGGCAAAGAAAAAGAAATCTTTATACATTATTACAGTTTTCATCCATAGATCTGTTTAAAATATGGGAAACCTATGCTATACAGGCTTTGCACAGTGCCTAATTCCATACAAAATATTTGGGATTTACAAGAGTTAAATGCTTTTAAGCTACATTAATGTATTTTCTAACCTGCTACGTTCCACCCTAGCTATTGGTGTTTTCCATTATTATTACCTCCAAACTGGCAATTTACACCAGAAACCTATATATACAGGTGATCAAATCCCTGCCCTTTTTTTTTTGCAAGTGTCTCATGCAGAACCTGTTTTTTTAAAAAAAAGACTGGGTTTCCATCACAACATCATTGCTACCATCTTGATTTTTTGACCCTTTCCCATTCCTTCATGGAGACCCCTAAATAGGATTATAACCCCAACATTGTTACGTAGAAACTGAGGCACTCTAAGGTTGGCATGGAGCTGATAAGAGCCTGATAAGAATCTTTTCACCCCCCTGAAAATAAGAATCTCCAATTCAGGTAAAACAAAAATTGTTTATTAAGGGAAGTCAAGTTTTTACATAAGGTACAGAAACAATATATGATATATGTGATGTGTCAGAAACTAACAAATCAAATAACAGAGACATGAGTTAGACATAAAAAAGACAGACACTCTTAAAATTATGTTTCCTGTCCAGGCTTATTTATTTAATGCTTGCAACACTCAAGGACTCCAGAATACTATTCCCTATTGTTTAGCTTATGAATTGACTATTGCACAATTTTTAAAAAATGTCTTTGGCTAAAAAGAAGAGATGGTTTTCTGAACTTCAAGAGGAAGCATGTGTGGCATGCTAAAATGCTTATATCATCTTTATTAAAAGGCTAATAATAAAGCTAAAATTCCAGGTGATAACATCATAATAAAGTTCATAAATACAAATACTTTCAACATACAATAAATATTCCTTTGATCTGAACTCAGTTTCTGCTAATCCATATGCTGATGGATACATACATACATGTAGAGGATTGTGGAGAGAGGATTGTAAGAGTAGTTTGCCACTGAATTCAGAGATGTTGTTTTCAGTTTCCCTAATCTATAGACTGTATAACTTCATGGAATTCTTCCCTTCAAATAATTTCCAAGTCTGATATTTCTGAATATCACATTATAGGTAGTTCTCAGTTAACAGTGCTAATTGGAACATCAATTTCTAGCTCTACAACATCAATGATGTTGTAAAGGGCAATGTCACATGACTGCGACTGCATTGTTTAGCAACAGCAATCTTAGAAGTCCCCATTGCCATTATTAACTGAGAATTGCAGATCATTAATCAAGGAGCTACTCACAACTTCCTGCTGGCTTCCAACAAGCAAAGTCAGTGGGAAACGAACTGGAAGTTGAAAGTACCAGATGGTTTGCAAGGATGTAAACCAGCAGAGAGATTAGTGGCTGCTGCCGAGTGGAAGGTGATGCATGAGAATGTGCGAGTGGCCAGTGAGGTTTAGGCTGAGTGCAGCAGGGCTGAAGGAGCATGTATAAGTGGCCAGTGAGACACGGCATGGCTAGGCGTGGCTGCTGCCAGGTGGGGGAGGGTGTGCAGACATGTGCAGTTGGGTGGCAAGGTAAGGTGCAAGCACAGAAGAGCTGCTGCTGGGTGGGAAGGGTGTGTGAGGGCCCCTTGCAGCTGTAGAGTCACAGTGCTTTGAGAAGTTCAGAGCGCAGTGCCTCTCCATGCATGGGCAGGATGCGGGAGGGAGAGGTAGGAACTGATGGAATTGAAGATCAGTTAGTAGGATGGTTGAGGTGGCAGTGGGGTGATCATAAATACGAATGGCTCAAATTTTTATCATGTGACCATAGGAGTGCTATGGCAGTCATAAGTTCAATGACCAGTCACAAATCTATTTTTTCCAGCTTCATAACTTCATAACTTCAAACAGTCACTGAATGAATGGATGTTAAGCAAGGACTGCCTGTAACTGACCTTATCTGGGGCTTGACAATCTATCTGTGTCTCTATGTATATCAGTCTGATTGTGACAATTGGTAGAAAAGTTGGGGGTAAGTTGTTTCAAAGTATATCTCATAATTCTCATAAGATGACTGTCTTTATAGATCTTAGTGCAGCTTTGATTCTATAAATAGAAATATTTCGTGGAAGAAATTGGCCAGCCTTAATGGAACCCAGCCTTACTCAAACACCAGTTTGAAAGAGCCTCTCCCTATGCACTGATCCCAGTGTGCACTTTGGTTTTCTGCAGAAGGCTAGGAGATGAAGCATGAGAATAGATGCCTGGAAGTAGCAGGAAGAGCGAATGGCCTTGAAGGATAAGAGGAAGAACTGCTATTCTTTCTCATCAAGAATATTGATGTATGAATGATAAAGATGTCATTTCAATCATTTATACCCACTGAAAAAAGATCTTTTTCCTTGGAACACACTAGGATAGAGATTTTGTAATAAAGCATAATTCCTTTGTTTAATGGAACAAATCTGAAAAATTAAATTAGACAGGGTAACTGCTGTTAATCCCTCTCCTGGGAATCACATTTAGGATCCAGGTACATCATTAGAGGTTTTATTTTCAAGAATTTTATAATGAGGTTGTGAATTATGTAAAATACATAGGTTGGATGTGAAAAAAAATGCAAAACACAAGTATCAACTAAATGCTTGAGGAAAATATAAGCAGTCCAAAGCAATACAATGCAATATCCAAGAATAGAAAAAGCATTTTATTTAATATAATACTTTAAACATTACAACTTCTATATTTACATAATGGAATGTATGTTTCTTATAAACAATGTAATATAGGCTTCTGATATGAATATTTGCAAATGATGTTTTTATGTATATAAAATAGACTTTCTATTTAAATTGTTTGTTAGTTTACTTTAGATGTCCATAATACTTATGACTAGTCAATCCTTGTCCAATCTTAGAAAACAGTTAATTATTTTTAAAAATTAAAGTCTCTTTTTCATGAGTTCTTATAAACATGGCCTGCCCTAGATGCCTGCAGTTAGACACGGTCAAGAACCACATTAAACCTTTAAAAATATATAGCTTCTTAAAATATTTATTACACTTTCCCCCCAACATGGAGACTTTGGATTTTAGTTCCTGTAAATCAGCATCGACTCTGAATGACACCAGCTTTATTGCTCTCTTGAACGTTTCAAATCAAATTAGCTTGAAAGCCAATACTGAAACATGTTAACAGCAAACACTTACATGTTTGAGAATGTTAAGGGCAGATATTTTCCTTATTCACATAAACTTCCTTCTTTGTCAGTCAAACAGACATGCTCATTTAAAGAAAGAAATCTTTCGTACATCACAAATATCTGTACAGCTAATTCTATCCAAGGGCCAGCTTGGAAGTATGTTTGGTGGAATTACAAGTATTTAATTTTCAACCATGTGTTTTGTTTTTAAAAAATAGATGTTACAGCACTTCACTGGATAAAAATTAAAAAGATATTGAAAATTTGGCAGTTAAAAATGTAAATTATTTGCAGAAGCATCTTACTGAATCAACAGAATCATTCATTTATGTGCAATGATTGAAGAACTTTACATCTGAATTCTAAATGCACTGTTTCAATTGCCCCAGATGACTGGGACATTTCAAAAAAAAAAAATAAACCTCTTTGCTTTTTCCTATATTTCTACATATTCATTTATATATTCAAAAGATTTATATAACCATCCAACAAACTCTAGACCAGTGGTTCTCAACCTTTCTAATGCCGTGACCCCATAATACAGTTCCCCATGTTGTGGTGACCCCCAAGTGGGTGTGGCCACCAATAAGAGGGAGTAGGACAGCTAGGGAAAAGGGAAAAAATGGCGGACAGCGTGGTTTGGCGACCCCCGTGAAATGGTCGTTTGACCCCAAATGGGGTCCCGACCCACAGGTTGAGAACCACTGCTCTAGACGACTCGCAATAGCAACAGCAATAGTAATAAAAACATTATCAGATTTGAAACCAAAAAACTAATACCCCAACCAACCCTCTCCATTATATCCAGTTGATACAGTCCTCGACCCTGTCCCAATCCTTAGAGGAAGCATTCTTCTCTTCTTATTGCCTAACAGCTCCCTAGGTTGCTTTCCACTGCTGGAACTTTTCTCCCATCCTCCAGAGAAGTCTTATACATGGCAGGCAGGGACAGGCTTCAGGAGAAAGCAATACCTTCTCCTTCCTGATTCTGCTAATAGAAACTTTTATCCCTGGAAAACCTTGGATTTCACCCTTGACTTAGAATGATTATCCAGTAAATGTTCGAATATTATTTATATCAAATAAATACAGGTAGTCCTTGACTTACAACCATAATTGGAACCTAAATTTCTCTTGCTAAGTGAGACATTTTGTTAACTGAACCTTTCTTGCCCACAATTGTTAAGTGAACCACTGCAATTGTTAAGTTAATAACATGTTTGTTAAGTGACTCTGGCTTCCCCACCGACTTTGTCAGAGGGTCGCAAAAAGTGACACAGTAATGGTCATAAATATGAGTCAGTTGTCAAGCGTTTGAATTTTGATCACATGACTATGGTGTTGCTACAACAGTTGTGTGAAAAATGGTCTTAAGTAATATTTCAATGCTGCTGTAACTTGGAACAGTCACTAAATGAACTGTTGTAAGTCGAGGACTACCTGTATAAAATAACTACAAATGCAGTTAACATATATTACTAAATGGGAACTTTACAGTATCCTGGATTGGTGTTAATATATCAGCCTTACCATACAAAGTAAACAGATCAACTAATTCTACTTTATTAACAGAATTAATTCTACTACATTAACAGAATCTTGCAAGTTTGAAAGTACAGTTCTCTTCCCACCTTCTTTACCCTCGAAGAAATTAGGAAGGGTCTCTTCTGAGCCTGTTACCCCTCCTTATCACTGTAGATCATGATGTCTCTTATCTGATCATTCCCTAGACAGCATCTCCTTGCCCTCTCTCCCAAGATCCTTCCCACATACCATTACATAACATCATTAGTAACAGTGGTGGAAAATATTTGTTGATAAAAATAACAAAATGTTGATAAATTCAAAAGGGCAATGTCATTAGAGGAAACGAGATTTTCAATTTGCAACCTCAAAGGCATACATTATGCAATTTAATTAGGGAATAAGCCAATTAAATAAGACTTGCTTCTTAGCCAACGCACACAGGATTGGTGTGTAAAATAGTGTAGTCAAAACTCTTTTAGCTAAATCAATGTTTCCCAAATTTGCAACTTTAAGATGGGTGGTCTTCAGTTCCCAGAAATCCCTAGCCAGCATAGCCATTGCTAAGCATTCTAAGAATTAAAGTCCACACATTCTACATTTTCAGAGACTGGGAAACATCAGGCTAAATGAACTATGAAATCTCTAAAAAACAGTTTGAGTATTTCAGATTTTTGCCTACTGGTGGCCTAGTTGAAGATAATTTTGACACATTTCCTCATCAAAGCCATCTGCCCCCAGTTCAGGAGGATTTCAGCCATCAGGGCAGTTTTCATCCATGGATTTCTCCAGTGCATTCCAATAGATCATCAGCTCATGAGGTTTCACAAAATGGCTGGTTACTATTTGCTTAAAGCGGCAAGGTGAAAATTTAAGCCTTTCAGGGAAGAAGGTTTGCTTAGAATGGAGGTTTTCCGGTTTGATACCAAGTTCAGCAAGGCACAAGCCAATGAATACATCCTCCAGCTTAACAAAGGTAATATTGTCAGAAATTCTATACACCAGACTAGCAACATCTGTTGAGAAAACATAGCCAGTCCCTGAACAAAAAGGAGGGTACACATTTCTTGGATATTCATTTTTACTCATATACCACTTACTGGATATTTCCCGTATTGGATGGTCATTTTGTTTTAAAAAGCCAGTGAAAAATCTGGTTTTCTGGATTTTTTTTAGAAGGAGTTCAGTCAGATAGTAGGTATTTACAAACACATCTGAGTCTGCTTTCATTACAAAGCTAGACTGTGAACAGAATTTGTGAATCCATTCAATGCCCATCATAGTTTTTAATGTTAAATTATAATAGGTATCTACAAAACTTTTCTGGATAATATCTCCATATTTCAGACTCTCATTAATCACAGCAACTTGTTCTTCGGGATTCAAGGTAATTCCCAAAAGAAAATAGGTTACAATCAATTTATTTGCTATTAATCTTTTTTTGCCCCAGGTCTCACGGATTATTACACGAACTTTTAAATCAGTAGGAGAGGAAGTTACAAGAATGACCAGAAATGGAGGGATCTGGCTACAGTCTGAATGAGGTACCAATAAAAATTGTCCATTGCCTTGTTTTAAAAATATGTCCTCAGTTTTGGTCTGACAGAAGATGCATTCTCCAACTGAAGTCCACTTGATCAAAAAGTATAACCCAGCAAAGACCAGTATGGTTGTCAAAAAAAATATCTGTCTGAGTCTCTTGGAAGCCATCTAGGGAAAAAAAGAAAAAGGGCTACATAGAAAATATTAATTTCTTATGTTGATATAAAAGAAAGATGAACAAAGCTGATGCAGCGCTACAATTCTATGTATAATCAGATAATCTGATGTTGAGAACTATATGCTTAGGAAAATTTGGACATGGATTCTCATTCCTGAATTAGGTCCTTCAATTAATAAAAAGAGTGTATCCTCTTTATCTGAGCCAAGTGTTTTCCCTACAGGTTTGGGTGTACAACAAATTGGGGACTGAATTTAGCAAATAAGGAGCAATAAGCAAGAAATTTACACAAAGGCAAATTGGAGGAAAAACAGACATACCCTATGACAGTGGTGGTGAACCTATGGCACGCATGCCAGAGGTGGCATTCAGAGCACTCTCTGTGGGCATGCATGCTGCTGCTGGCAGCAGCTCGCACAGGTCCATTAGGCCACTGCCGCTGCCCGGAGCAGCAGCCCTGCCCAGAACAGGCGAAGCAGCCAGCTAGTAAGCTCAAGTTGAGGTGGTAGAACATGCCCACACCCAGCAAGCCAAAGGTCACTCTGAGCAGGGAAAGCTGGATCTCCATCAGTGCCATGACCCCCCAGTCCCAGCTAGGATTGCATGCCTCCCCCCTCATCTCTGCTGGGCCTGGATAGTCATGACGCCGATGGGAATCTGGCTTTCCCTGCTCAGGGTGGCCTTTTGCCTGCTGGCTCTGGGCGTGCTCTACCACCTCTACGCAGGGCTTCCTAGCCGACCACTTCACCTCCTTCGTGCTGGGCAGCCCTCTAGCTCTGGATGGCAGCCTAATGGACCTGTACGAGTGGCCAGCAGCCACAGAAGGTACCAAGATTCATGAGAAGAATGCACTCCACCTGCATGGGGGCCAACAGCATCTGGAAGCAGGGGCTGTGTAGCCTGCCATGAATACTGGGCTGGCCCTCCAGCAGCACACAGAGTTGGGGGAGCACGTGATGTGGACCGCCAGACACTACTAAGCCATCCCATCTCCTCAGTCTCCTCGAGGGTCTTGATCTTGGCCCACGGGTGGAGTGCATTCCCCTCATGCACCTTGGTACCTACCGCAGCCACCAGTCCAGGCCCAGCAAAGATGGGGGGGAGACACGCAATCCTAGCTGGGACTGGGGGGGTATGGAGCCGATGGAGATCCAACTTTCCCTGCTCGGGGTGGCCTTTGGCTTGCTGGGCATGGGCATGCTCTACCACTTGTACTCAAGCTCACTAGCCAGCTGCTTTGCTCCTTTGTTCTGGGCATGGCTGCTACTCTAGGTGGCAGTGGCGGCCTAATGGACCTGCACAAGCTGCTGGCAGTGGCGGCCCAAGGCGGGCCCAAGATGCTTCGGGTGTGTGAGGGGAACGGGCTCCTCATGGAGACCAAGGGCAAGATCTGCAAGGGGGCTGAGGAGATGACCAGCAGCGACCTGCTCTCCAACCGCAAGCAAAAACAGATGGGACAGAGTAGGTGCATCCAGCGGTCTGCATCATGTGCCTCCCCCTCCCCTACTCCACCTGCCACTAGAGAGCTGACCCATTATTGGCAGCAGGTTGTGGAGTCCCAGAATGCACTGGTCGAGGGGCCAGCAGGCTGTGGCTGCTGACGGACACCGTCGGCCCCCATGCATTTGCTGGTCTGTGTGTGCAGGGGCCGACGATGTCAAGCAGCAGCTGCCCCAGCCCCTGCCTTGCCTTGCCTTGCCCCATGGCAATGGCACCCCCAACCTTCCTCCGGCCTCACCCCGCAAGATGAGCCTTCCCACCACTCCACCTACCAGAGACCCGCTGGATCTGCCCCAACCCTGCCTGGTCCCCATAGATGTCCCCCCCATGAGCAACATTAAGGTGGCCATGCCCGCTTCAGCCATGCCCACCCAATCTGCCATGGCCACTGCACCGATGCCCACCCAGTGGGCCATACCCCCACCCCCTCTGAGGGCCCCACAATGCTGATGCGGCTCTGGCACTTTGTGATAAATAAGTGGGTTTTGTGTTGCGGTTTGGGCACTCGGTCTCTAAAAGTTTTGCCATCACTGCCCTATGAAGAAAACAGTGCTGGGTAAGCAAAAGAAATAAAAGAATGCCACATTATATAAAATCCAGTACCTTTTGGACAAAGTACTTCCCAGGAATTCTTACTTCTTCAACAAGCCTATGGAAAAATAATAATAGTTTGAATATTCAAACCTTGAATGTCAATTTTATTGTTTTAATTCTATTTCTCATCAATATGGTCAAGCAAAAAACAAAACAAAAGCTACCACTTCAGAGGTATGTCTTATAGTTTCTAATCATGCAGTAATTTTAGAATATTTGCTAATTCATATATCTAGCATTCTTATATCTGCAGATCCAAAAGCACCCTGGCCTATTAGAAAATAAAGGTACTGCAGACATTGGCAGTGGCTTTCTTTTCAGTGTTGAGTATAAGCCTTGCCAAAATGGATGAATAAGGATGAATAAAAGAAAGGGTTGTCCGCAATATTGTAAACAGATGTAAAATTCTAATACATTTACAGAATTTTTGTTTGTTTCTTATACTTTATGCCGCAGACTCCCAAAGCTTTAGCATTTTTTTACCATAAATCTAAATACAGAGGGAACAAAAATTCATATAAAAAACATACATGCTGCAAACCCCACCTGCATTTTATAAAATACCCTCCTTCTATACCAACGGAAGAGGAAAGCTTCTGTATTTCCTAAAGCAATCAAAACTCCATCAGGAGGCAGTTCCAAAGAATGTGGGTGGCAATGACACTGTGCAGAAGCAGGACATGGAGATATGAGGGATGGATGAAAAGCAATGCCTCCAATGTTATAAATCACCAACAGATGGCAGTATTGATGGCAGTACTTTGGTATCTTTCAGCTAAGTTGGCAAGACGTTGCTGTGACAAATTGTGCTGAAATGGAAGCTTGCAGTGAGTAATCATCCATGCTCTTTCAGTAATATGTCATGGTTGAATTTTTGAGAGATAGTCCCTTCAGCTGAAATTCACTGTTGAATGCCTGCTGTTTATGGTGAAGATTATTGAGTATTGGGTGTCCCTGAGCCAGAAAATGCAAATCAGAAGGAACTGAATTGCATATTCAAGATTGGCCTTGATATTCAAATGTACAAAGTGATATCACATGAGAAAAGTTGATGAACTGATTAAGGACAGTTGGAAGATCACTTATTTCTTCTTCTCATAGGGAAACTGCTATGTTGGCATTTCACAGGAATGTCACCTTACCAATGTTTGTGATGTGCTTCAGTACTGGAAGTTTTGTACCAGGTGGGTTCCTCATATGCTGATAGCAGAAATGAAAAGCTTCAATTAAAATTTGCAGCAGTTGTTGTCATGGTACAAGAATAAAGGTGAGACGGGTTTTTTTTCTCAGTATCATGACAGCCAATAAAACATGGGCTAATCAGCATGACTCAGAAGGGTATAATCACAAAACTTTTATGTGCTTCTTTTCCTACATTTTTATTATGTCTTATCTATAACACAAAACTGGCTAGAGAGATATTTTTATTTGATTTAGATTTGGATTTGCTTATTAATCTTTCCCATCCTGCAATTCTAGACAAGAGTATTCTAATAGTAAATAAATACCCTCAATTGACTGGAGAAATGTGTGCCGTATAAAGATAAAACATGGATATGACCACATATTAACATGGTGTGTTAGCCAAGAGTTCTTCCACACCATCTTTCTTTGCTCCAGACTCTCTCAAAATAGTTTGAAGCCACTTTGTGATCATCTTAAGTTTCAGGTGGCTTCAAAACACAGATAGTGAACTCTGGAGCCAGTCAGTGCTGATCCTACAACTAAAGAATGTCAACCAGTCAGGGCCCTCCTCTGATATAAGCTCCTGAAGATTCTGGAACAATGAAAATTCATAATTCCAGAATGAAAGAGAACTGAAATAAATTCCTAGTATTAGCCCCATTTTCCCCAGGGTTCTCAATTAACAGCACATAAAGTTGGTCATTTGTAAAAAATAAATAAATAAATAAATCTATTGTTATGAAATAACATTTTCTGTTTACAAAGACTTAATTTTCTGTTGCATTTAAAAACGTTTCCAAGTTGTGCTGGAAATTTATTTGCCTATTTGAAACCAAGTGTTTTCTTAATATTTCTAGCCATTGTTGCATACTGCTTGATAGTTAAGCAGGGCAGCTATATTTCAGTCAACATCTACAGATAAGAACCAGAAACAAGAAAATGAAGCTGTGTATTGATGGGAAGAAAGAGAAAGAATGGTGGTTGTTAGACCCCAGGAACCAGAGGTGGTGTAAAATAGAGTTCCCCCAAATGGGAAATCAGTTCATACATGTGCTCTGTACACTTGAAACATCGGTCCCAAAGCAGAAGTTGACAACTCAGTGTCCATTGTGAGACTGGGTGAATCTGCAGCTGTTTCTGAACCTTAAAGTTCTCGTTTTTTCTTTCAGAAGCCAAGGTTCCATAATATGAAAGGCTTCTCTTAAACAAAATCATGTTATATTTTCAGATCAGTAATCTGTTGCCATAAAACCTAACTGCTAATGGAATATTTTTCAATGAAGAGTTGACAAATAAGATATCTGCAAATGTTATAACAATTCAACTTCTTAAAAAATACTTATTTGAATGTTTTAAAATTTATATTTTTAAATCTGCATATTTTAAAATTTCCCATTTACTTTCGGTATCTATGATATTATACAAAATCAGTAGCCTTTCAAGGTGGACCAGAAAAATACAGAAATTGGATGATATACTTCATTTCCTTCTAGAATAGTGAAGGTTTGAGCAAACATTGTATGCCTGATCACTTGTATATGATCAGTTCAAATGCCTCAGAGGTCCAAAGTCTAGTTCTCCCAGTGCCTTCTACATTCAGACGAGGAGTTGATTTAAAAAAATAATATTTTGTAGTTTTTAATGTTTAAGTAATTATAATAATTATTTGGGGTGTTTGTTGACTGTTTTTTTAACTTTGTTGTATGCTGCCCAGAATCACTTGTTTTTGTGAGAAGGACAACTACATATATTTGAATAACAAATAAAAAGACATAAACTCAGTCACATCTGCAAATGACACAATAAAGACCAGCATAAGACTTTTGAATGTGGTACTTGGAAGATCTCCAATGATCAGTAAATATTGCATACATAATTATTGGCAATCAATAATTGTATAAGATGAATACACAACCTGCAGATGAGAGACAAATTCTTCAAGCCCTACTCCATGTCTGTGACTCTATACTGCATATAGAATTGCTATTTTCTTTGTCCCTTTCCAGCACATTAGGGAACACTTTTGTAGGTGTATAACTTTTCAAACTGTTTTTACCAAGCTATTCTATGGGCTAATAGAATAATCCCAGATCAATTACTCTAAAAAAAATGCTTTCATTGAATTAGGAATTAGTAGAGTCAACCCTACTAAACACTCAAAAGTTTTTCTGCAAACAAAACATGCATAACATTGTAGGGTGCAATGGCTTGTAAAAAAAAATCAATCTGATAGAACTGGAATGCTTGCTTTTTTAATTTTGATTTTGTAATTTCTATTCCTGAACATAATAATTGGTGATCATAGATTTTTTTCCTCCAGCAGGAAAAAATGAACCATTAAGTGTATCAATACAAATAATTAACTTACCTTTTTAGCTGAAGATCACTGTTTAGATAAGTTGGACTGTCTTTATGGAGAAAAGAACATCGTGTTTAAAATCTTTTCCATATAATAGCTGTTTCAACAGACACACAATCAAATATTCTGAACATCTCTCAGTCTCTCTCTTCATAGTTTAACAGGAAGGTCGTAATTAAATATTTCAGCTTCTGTATCCTGATCATGTTCTGGATGACTGCTGCAATTACTTCTTTATTTCATTATTAGATGAGGCCTGTTGCCACCCAGTGGCTATTGGGAACTTTGCAGCATAAATTTTGGCACAGGAAATTGGAATATGTACAAGACGTCTGGAGGGAAATTAATCCACAAAAACTACAATGTAGCTTTTACTCAAACAGCCAAAACTCCTGGTCAAGAATTGACATGGTTTGGATGACATCTGAACTGAGGAGGGATATATAGGAAATTGAGATAGAAATAGGCACATGGGCAGACCATAACTCTCTAAAAGTCACATGGAGAGGAATACAAAAAAACCCAAGATGGACGTTAAATCAATCTATATTAAAAGAAAAAGAATTTATAGAGTTAGCGAAAAAAGAAATGGAATTTTTCTTTAAAGAAAACAAAGAAGAAGATACAACAGTACAAAACTTATGGGATACAGCCAAAGCTGTAGAGACATTTGGCCAATAGATATAGAGGCATAGCTATAATGTATACAGCAAAGAAAAATAAACAGAGAAGACAGCAACATGTATTACTAAAAGAAAAATTTGGAAAGTTAGAAACAGAATTAATCCACAGAAAAAGACTTTGAAAAGAAAAATGGAAATAATAAAACATAAATTAAATCTGTTGGATTCAGAAAAAGTGGCAGAACAGATACAAAGAATAAAACAGAATTTCTTTGAAAATGCCAATAAGCTAGGAAGAAGGTTAGCTTATAAACTTAAAAAACAGAAAGAGAAGAAAATGATACACACTTTAGTAGATGGGAAAGGCTATCTACAATTCAAAAATGAAAAAATGAAAAAGGTTAAATATTTGGGCACATATCTATGGCCAAATGCTCAACAATAAAAGAAGATAATTATATAAAATTATTAAAACAAATAAAGATGTGCTTGGAAAGATGGAAGAATTTGCAATTGTCAATATTAGGAAGAATTGCTATAATGAAAATGAATGTTTTGCCAAAGATGTTATTTTTATTTCAAAGAATTCCGATAAAACTTGAGAAAAAATTCTTCCAAGATTTAAACTCATTAATTTTGAAGTTTGTCTGGCAAGGAAAGAAAGCTAGAATTAAGATGAAAATGTTACAAGATGCTAAGGAAAATGGAGGTTTTGGGTTACCGGAATGGGTTTTGTATTATCAAGCATCTGTTTTAACATGGGTGAAAGAATGGATAACTCTTAGAAATAAAAGGTTGTTATATTTGGAGGGGCATGACTGACAATTGGGATGGCACGCTTTCTTATGGTATGGGAAAAATAGAGCTCATAAATATTTCCAAAATCACTATGTAAGAAATGCTTTGTTAATAGTATGGGAAAATATTAAAGCTAAAATATATTTTAAAATTCCAGGGTGGCTATCAACGATGGAAGCATTTGTACATACAAATATGGTAGACTTTGAAAAAATTTGGACATATAGAGATATTCTAAATATTGATGGGAATTTAAAACCCAAACAAGAACTGGAAAATCAGGGTTTCATCTTGTCATGGTGGGCACATTTACAGATGCAAAATATATATGAAAAAGACGTAAAACTGAATGGATTTTATAAAGATCAAACTGTATTTGATAAGATTTTGTTAACCTCAGATGAGAAATTAAGAAAATGTATAATTTTTTGTTAATTCTGGAAATGGAAAGTGAACAAGTTAAAGAAACAATGATAAGATGGGTAAAAAACTTTGGTTATAATATAGAATTTAAAAAGTGGCAAAAGCTATGGGAGAGAAATTATAAATTAACAATGTCAACTTCTTATAAAAAAAATTTATATAAAATGTTTTATAGATGGCACTTCCCACCAGCAAGATTAGCAAAAATGTTTAAAAATATGTCAGATAGATGCTGGAAATGTAAGCATAACTCAGGCACGTACTATCATGTTTGGTGGACATGTGGCAAAGCAAAGGCTTACTTGAAAAAGATACATGCTTGGTTAGAAAAAATATTAGAAGAACATGTTGATTTTAAACCTGAACTTTTCCTGTTAGGTATACACGTCACTACAGCAGCAAGAATAATCTTTGCACAATATTGGAAAAATGAAGAGGAAGAAATAATCAGAAAAATACTGCAATACAGAGATGGAATGATTAACAATGAGATTATTCATTCCATACAGCATTAACCTTATGAATTCTCAAGCTTCCTCCTTCCGTTATATATTCAAGATGGACAGTATTTAATATTTATTTGCTATGTATATGTAAGGGTGTGGGTCTATACATATGTTGTACATAGTAATAATAATAATAATAGCAAAGTTGGAGGGGACCTTGGAGGTCATCTAGTCCAACCCCCTGCTCAGGCAGGAAACCCTACACCATTTCAGACAAATGGCTGTCCAGTCTCTTCTTAAAAACTTCCAGTGTTTAGATGTGTGTCATGTATGTGTTTCACTTTAAGAGCGGGCAACTAAATTTCATTTTTGATGTGTGCCGTTGTGCCCACAGTAAAAGAAAATGACAATAAAGGTTATCTTATCTTATCTTATCTTATCTTATCTTATCTTGCCTTGCCTTGCCTTGCCCTGCCCTGCCCTGCCCTGTCCTGTCCTATCTTATCCTATTCTATCCTATTTTATAATCTTTTCCATATAATAGCTGTTTCAACAGACACACAATCAAATATTCTGAACATTTCTCAGTCTCTCTTCACAGTTTAATAGGAAGGTCGTGAATAAATATTTCAGCTTCTGTATCGTGGTCATGTTCTGTATGACTGCTGCAATTATTTCTTTCATTATTAGATGAGGCCTGGACCTGCAACCAAAGTGCAGATTGATTTTTAATAATTGACCTGCACATTGTTGTTGTTAATTGCGAAGTCATGTCCGACCCATCGCGACCCCATGGACAACGTTCCTCCAGGTCTTCCTGTCCTCTACCATCTTCTGGAGTCCATTTAAATTCACACCTACTGCTTCAGTGACTCCATCCAGCCATCTCATTCTCTGTCGTCCCCTTCTTCTATTGCCCTCAATCTTTCCCAGCATTAGGCTCTTCTCCAGTGAATCCTTCCTTCTCATTAGGTGGCCAAAGTACTTGAGTTTCAACTTCAGGATCTGGCCTTCTAAAGAGCAGTCGGGGTTGATCTCTTCTAGGACTGACCGGTTTGAACGCCTTGCAGTCCAAGGGACTCGCAGGAGTCTTCTCCAGCACCATAGTTCAAAGGCCTCAATTCTTTTGCGCTCAGCCTTTCTTATGGTCCAACTTTCACAGCCATACATTGCAACTGGGAAAACCATGGCCTGGACTATACGCACTTTTGTTGGCAGGGTGATGTCTCTGCTTTTTAGTATGCTGTCTAGATTTGCCATAGCTTTCCTCCCCAGGAGCAAGCGTCTTTTAATTTCTTGGCTGCAGTCCCCATCTGAGGTGATCTTGGAGCCCAGAAAAATAAAATCTGTCACTACCTCCATTTCTTCCCCATCTATTTGCCAGGAATTGAGAGGGCCGGATGCCATGATTTTGGTTTTCTTAATGTTGAGTTTCAAGCCAACTTTTGCACTCTCCTTCTTCACCCGCATCAAGAGGCTCTTTAGTTCCTCTTCACTTTCTGCCATCAGAGTGGTATCATCTGCATATCTTAGGTTGTTGATATTTCTCCCGGCAATCTTAATTCCAGCTTTTGATTCATCTAGCCCTGCCTTTCTCATGATGTGCTCTGCATATAAGTTAAATAGGCAGGGTGACAGTATACAGCCTTGCCGGACTCCTTTTCCAATTTTGAACCAATCAGTGGTTCCGTGTTCGGTTCTCACTGTTGCTTCTTGACCCACATATAGGTTTCTCAAGAGACAAATGAGATGGTCTGGTACTCCCATCTCTTTAAGAACTTGCCACAATTTGTTGTGATCCACACAATCAAAGGCTTTTGCATAGTCAATGAAGCAGAAGTAGATGTTTTTCTGGAACTCCCTAGCTTTCTCCATGATCCAGCGTATGTTGGCAATTTGATCTCTAGTTCCTCTGCCTCTTCGAAATCCTGCCTGTACTTCTGGTAGTTCTCGATCCACATACTGCTGGAGTCTAGCTTGTAGGATTTTAAGCATAACTTTACTAGCATGTGAAATGAGTGCAATGGTGCGATAGTTTGAACATTCTTTGGCATTGCCTTTCTTTGGAATTGGAATGTAAACTGACCTTTTCCAATCCTGTGGCCACTGTTGAGTTTTCCAAATTTGCTGGCAAATTGAATGTAGCACTTTTACTGCATCATTTTTTAAGATTTTGAATAGCTCAGCTGGAATACTGTCACCTCCACTAGCTTTGTTGTTGCTCAGATTTTCTAAGGCCCATTTCACTTCACATTCTAGGATGTCTGGTTCGAGGTCAATGACCATCTCATTGTGGTTATCTGGGATGTTAAGCTCATTCTTGTATAGTTCTTCTGTGTAGTTTTGCCATCTCTTCTTAATCTCTTCTGCCTCTGTTAGGTCTCTGCCATTTTGGTCCTTTATCATGCCCATCTTTGCATGAAACGTTCCCTTCATATCTCCAATTTTCTTGAAGAGATCTCTGGTCCTCCCTATTCTGTTGTTTTCTTCTATTTCTTTGCACTGTTCATTTATCTCTTCTAGCTACTCTCTGGAATTCTGCATTCAATTGGGTGTATCTTTTTCTTTCTCCTTTGCCTTTCGCTTCCCTTCTTTCCTCAGCTATTTGCAAAGCTTCCTCAGACAGCCATTTTGCTTTCTTGCATTTCTTTTTCTTTGGGATGGTTTTAGTTGCTACCTCTTGTACAATGTTGCGAACTTCCATCCATAGTTCTTCAGGCACTCTGTCTATCAGATCCAGTTCCTTAAATCTATTTGTC